AATGTGTTATTGAGTTTCGAAACATTCGTAGAACATCAGGTATATTTTATAATAAAAATTTGCTAAAGTACAGCCCATTTAAACTATTAATAGGTACGAAGCATCACGGATGCTAACGTAGATTGGTGGATTCGAAAAACTGCAGATGCAACCGGTAAAAAAGATTTTACATTCCCTTTTAAGCATGGCCACGCTCATTCAATACCTAACCTTTGCCAAAATTTCTATACTTCGACGGCCGCTTACTGAATGCGTTAACCACTGCGTCATCAATGTTTCCTAACCGTAGTTTTTATCTTGCTTGTTTCTTTATACTACGGTTTTAAAATGTTTTCTTTCTTAGTTTGAAACGGGTATTATTTCTTTTGTATTTCTATCCGACTGTACTATATGAATTTTACTTTAATTAGCTTTGAATATAGCAACATTTCTCAATATTTTACTGATTCTGTTTTTAGTTATGTTTTTTGTAAATTTTCCTGTGGTTATTCAATGCAATAGGCACTACTGTGAAAATCTAGGAAATGGCTTCTTACAAACGTTTTCGATAAACATATGAATTTTATTTTACGTATGTTGCGAATCTCCTATGCGTTATTAAGATAAGTACCTACTTTTCGAACCTAATACTATATTCGAAATTCCTACTGAGTTTCTCAGTTTTGCTTACTATATATTGTCTATTGTTATCTATTGAAACTTAAATTATTTGTGTATATTTTCCTTTTATTGCCATTACATTCAGTAGGTTTTAAAGTCCACACCCGTTTCGTCCGTTATAACGCCCGAAATATAACAAGACCGCTTAATAAAATCCAAATATCTACGAAATCAGCAGCCAATTGTATAATAATTAGCTCATGCATTCCTTCGCCAACAGACTTCACAATCAAGAGACCCTTACAAAATCTAAATTTAATAATGACTCAGTATTACAACCACCCGGTTAGGTACCTACAAGCGAAAGCGTTAAATTCAATCAGTGCGACCGAAAGTGTCTCGTCACCCGTCCAATTTCTACAATTGGAAACAGTTTTACAAGCGATAAATTCGTGCTACCCGCGTCACTGGATACAACATTTATTAGCTACTATCCAGATTAGATTAGCGTTGCATCCTTTGCCCGGGGGACGTGAAATTTGTCGTAGTAATGTGGCCACGCGCCGCTCTAATTCAGCCAGTCCCTTTCTGATGTGACTCGAATGTCGCCCAGTGTTTCATTTTAATTGAATAGTTTGCGAGGGTGACGCTGTTTTCCTAGAGATAACTTTACGAGCGCTTTGCATAATTGCCGGTCGCTCGTGTTGTCGTCTCTAATTTGTTGCAATTTCGCAATCTGTCACGCTTTCCTCCCCGAAAATTAATAGTTGGTCGATATAATTGTATTGTTTTAGTTTTGTGTTTTCTTTAAATGTCATACGTGTATGTAGGTAATTATTTATGATATTTTAATTCAAATTGTTTATTACAGTCGACAAAACGTTCCATTCAATCGTCAGTAACAATATTTAACTTAAATGCTATGTTAGTATTTTTTAATTATTCTTTTGTTCCTTTTTGTAACTGTTCATTGTAACAAGCTGTGTAATTTAATTTATACGTTACTTTGCCTGGCTCTATTGTATTGATATAAATATGTAGTATATTATTTACTGTAGGTACCTTTTTAAGCACTAGTTTAACATACTTCTATACGTTTATTGGGACCTAGTTTTATTTAAAATACGGCCTATTTAAGAAGTTAAAGCTCAGAGCAAGTCAAATGGAGGATATCTTAGTATAAGAAAAATTAAATTTACTATAAAAACTTATAAAATATTATGTATTACACCGTGAATTTTCAGTTCTCAGGAATAAAATTACCAGTAAATTCAGATAACGATCTAAAGTTTAATTACCACAAAAAATACTTCAATATTTGTTTAAGTTGTCATAAATTGATTTCAACAACACTACTTTTAGGATCTCCGTACTTTAAAAGCATATTATATAAAAATTTGCGCCGTTTAAAGGATAATTTGTTAATGATATTCAGGTAACTCAACATTCACGGAGTACCTACCTATATAAAATATCTTTGCACCGAACTCGTCTATCTCTAAATAAAAATCATTGTGTCGTGAAAAGACTAACTCTTCGTGTTACTGTGGTAGAGAATAGTTAATAATAAAAGCTCGTCGCGTCGTTCTCACAAAAGCTCAGTTGAAGCGCTACCAGTAACGCCATCTATCGGCTTAAGTGCAAATGATAGGGGCAGGTTTTCATTGCCGGGGTTTTCAGACGCTTACTTACTAGTACGAGTTTATTACTTACTAGCTGTGCTCCGCGGTGCTACCTGCGGTTTATTAGGGATATTTTAAATAGTAAATTAGCCTATGTGTGGTATGGTGTCAGCTAAGTTCATACCAAATATTATTAAAATCGCTCCAGCCGTTAAGACGTGAAGAAGTAACAAACATTCACACTCACTTTTTTTCAAAATTTTGGGTACATTTTAATAAGTTTCATTATTTGAGATTTAAAATTAGATAATACTAATATGTTTTATAAATAAATGTTTCAAATCATTAAGTTGGTAATATGTATATTGATCTAGAAATCTAGAAATTGATAGTAATGTTTTGTAATTATTATTAATTTTTAGATAAAGTTGTTCTTTGTCATAGGTACCATTTTGCTTATTTTGTAGGATATTAGAGCATGACAACGTAACAAGTTAAAAGGTTAAAAAAACCTTTAATTCCATTGAAAGAGTTTTACTTTAAAAAATACGTGCAACGAAAAATCGCATTTTCTTAAATAAAGTAGAGAAAAAAATGTGTATTAGCCTATAAATTTATACACAACTTATTAATATAAGTATTTTGTAACCGAATAACGCGTATTAAGGTATATTTATATTTTGTAAGGTGTATATTTTGCAAGATATGTTGCTCATCCAGTCTAACATACTTATTCGTACCTACTTGTTTATGTTTAATCACACCGCAAACATGTGAAAATTGTACTACCTGCAGATTACAATATTCGAAGTCCAGTTAGCATTTTAACGAAGTCGCAAGTAGAAGTTGGCCATTAGTGATCCCGTTAACAACTTGTGGTTTTCTGTGCGCTCAGCAGGTACACTGGAGATCATAACAATGTATACATACGAATGAAGAAACCCTTTTGCTATGTTATATTTTACTAGCAATCCGCCCCGGGTATGGCACGGTCTATTTTTTTTATGCCATAAAATACAGCCTACTGTTATTCAGAATTATTGAATAATTATATGTAATACTTAGTAGTAGTTTTTAAACTTTTACGTTAAAAACATACAAGAATAGTAACTTTTTTTCTTTAATATAGTTTTGTCTTATTTATAACCAGTTTTGTCGTTGTTGATTTTACATTTTTGTTACCTACTTATTAGTTTTATCTCACTAATATTATAAAGGCGAAAGTTTGTGAGTGTGTATGTTTGTTACTTCTTCACGTCTAAACAGCTAGTACTAGTTAGCTGACACCCTGGATTAACACATAGGCTTCGTTTTACTGCGGGAAAATATCCCTTAATAACCGCTAGTAACACCGCGGGGCACAGCTAATACTTATATAAAGCTGTGTAGGTATTGTTTTTATGTGTTAAAATGGTGGCAAACAACCGTATGGCCCGCCTGATAGTAAGCGGCCACTATTTCTTATAGACGCTTGCGGTACCAAAAATATCACTCGCACCGAAGTTTTTTTTTGTGTGTTTATGCTGTTGGTCGGAGATGACCTTTACAGCATCACCGGGTTTGAGGACGGCGAGATCCTAAGGGGACCTCAAGCCGAGAATTGGCGAGTGCATCTAGAGGTATTCCAGGCGGATGGCGTCTCCCCACGGGGGGAGTCTCCTCTCCGCCTGAAGCCTCTAGACCACTCGATCCTGAGAGGGTCGGCTCAACTAGAGGGGCGTCTTTGAGACTCGGACCTCGGCTTTAGTTAGCCGTTGTCGTGGGGGCGCACCAAAGCCTACTCTAACCCAATCGTTTACCTCGTAGTACCCTGGCACCTTACTCCACCTCCACAGAGTAGGGAATCGAGTCAGGGCAGGCAACGGTGCGAATGATATTTTTGGTATCGCAAGCGTCTAAGATTATAGTGGCCGTTTATTATCAGGCGGGCCATACGAATAATTATTAAAATATATTTTTATTATATGACGTAATTAAAAATTTACGGCTTTTCCTTTAGAAGACGTTACTTTGTACCAAATTTCAAGATTCGTAGTTTACCAGAAGTACGCTGTAGGTTTTTATTCCCGTGCGAGTTTCGAAAATTTGCGGAAATTTGGGAAGAAAAACGGCTGTTTCTTTTGATTGCTTTGGCTTAGAAGTTTGATTTTTTCACAACTCCAAGGAACAGTAGACCTGAGTATTAGGTATGAATTTCAGTTTAATACTTCCACGCGTTCCTGACAAAAACGGTCTTGACGGACGGACGGACGGAGCGACTACAAAGTAATCCTATAAGGGTTCCGTTTTTTCCTTTTGAGGTACCGAACCCTAAACACTATCTGCTGACATCACTGTGTGAGCATAATAAAAATCTTCCAACAGGCAGTGTAGGTGTTTTGGTACGATGACGTTTTATTGACGACCACCGGTTGGTGCAACGATAGTGCTGCTGTCGGCTTATGAAAAAGCCTGTAGAGAATAGCGATGATGACTAACTTTTATTTGTTCGCCTATCAGATAGATCATCAAAAAGTACGGAACACACATTTTTTTCTTTTTTCACATAATCAAAACATTACAGAGTTAAATTGCTTTGAAATGTCGCGCGACGTCACTCCCAAACTTTGACGCGCTTTATCCAAGGTATATATATATATCTTCCTTGGTTTTATCATTGTCATTTTATGTTTGATTGACATAAGCAAAAAAAAATGTCCCCTGACAGACTAAATAAATAAAACTTTGTATCGTCATCATCCCTATTGCAGAGGAAAACAGGAATAAAACAAAAGAATATGTTAACAAACATTTAATTTTTTAATCTTTAGCAATATATTATCTATCATAACTGTATTTTAACTACAAAGTGATTGAATATTCACTTCTGTGTCCGCCCATAAAATTACCAAAGATGTTTCAATTAATAGTAACACAGACAGCAAGTATAGTTTCTACATTAATACCTATTTCTATTCGGCTATGTCTAATCAAGTTACTTTTCTAAATAATTTTGTAATCAGTTTGTATTGCACATTATACCTGAATATAAGCAGAAAATCAGGTGCGATCACGGAACGAATTTTTAACTTATCAAGTCAATTTACACTACTGATCCACAGCAGATCAGTGGAGCGAAACAACGCTTCCATTCAATGTTAAATCTATACCACTAAAGCTATAACATGAATAGCGGAAACCATCACTACCAGAAATACTATTAGGAACATAACAAATATAATTACAGATAAATTATAATTAAATATTATACTCGTATATTACATTATTTTACAACTTCATAAAATTATCTCTTCACAACTTCACAGTTTGCACGCACGCACGCAGCGTAATCATATTTCATAATAGTCTTTATCACTGACATCGATAGTTCGAAATTATCAATTTCACTTTTCCAACAACATGCAATAAACACGGCAGTCTCTCGTACACTATTAAATTTGTAAACTAGCGCACTTCCAACAACAATGTATGTGCTTAAAGAATAATTTTATATTTTCTAGTTAAGTTTCATCACTAAGTCGGGCTATGGGGTGGGTGAGGTGTGTGTGATGGATGCGGAGGGAGAGGAACGGGGTGGGGGCTCGCGTCTCGAAGAGAGTCTGGTGAGGAGCCAGGTGATGACCGTCGCGGTGGATACGGGGAGAATCTGTGCTGCGATAAGCTGGCAGCCCCGGCGGGTAGGCCTCCCGGGTACACGGGCCGGGGTAGCTGCAGTCCCGACCCTGACGCTGCTAAGTGCTGCTGCGCCAGTAACTGCGGCGCTAAGCACGCCCACTGTCCCCACAAAGCTGCTGCCGGCACTCCGTACAAAGGGTACGCGGCTCGAAGAAACAGCTGAGAGCGCGCCGCCAATATCGCCTTCTCTTCCAACGTCAAGTTGTTGTTATGCTGATCCAAGTCGAAAGGCCGCAGCGGCGACCGAAGGTAGTGCTGCTCCGCCAACATCGACTCCATCGTCTCCCTGTAACGTAAAACCTATTATTAGACTGCTTTGGTCCAACAAACGAAGGCTAACTGCTTAGAATTGTATGTTCGTATCTACCTATGCTGGGCGGCGCTGAAGCGACTGACATCGGGGTAGACTGAGGATCTTTCGTGCTCGCCCGTCACATAGAATCTCAACAAACAAACAATTCCAAAATAAAAATCTAATTAACTAAAAATAAATGCAAATAAGAATGGCGGTAAATAAATTAGAATTCCTTGTCACGAATGGAGTCAAATGTAAATGTCGGTATTAGTACTGATATCGTAAAAAGCTTAAATTATAAATAGGTAGGTACACATACAATTTTAATCTTAGACAAAATATTAAGTAAATGGGAGTTGGTTAATTGAAATAATTGTAGCTATGATATATATTTAATCAATGAAATATATTAATTAAAATAATGACGATATTTAATTTGTCAGTTTTCCAGTCAGACTATCATTTAGACACTAAAAATAGCAAATAGCAGCTCAGATTACAGCTTATCTATATATTACAATGACAAGTCTGAAAATAGCTAGTAAGTATAATTGTTTCATTGATATTTAAAATATTATTCTATGTTAAACATTCTAAAATCAAAATTGTTGGCGATGTACAATGATAATTACCTTTCGAATTCTGTGAGACGTGAAGAGTCGCGAAATCCTTTCGCGAAAGGATTGCTGTCAATTTTCAGCTTTGTAATCTGAAAGAAAACACATTGATTAACGTGACATACTTTACTGCCAAAAAATCAACATTATTAACAACAAATATCCAAGAACATTCCAGAATAAGCAAATAGATGACTAGAATGTAAAAGCTTTCTATGAAAAATTAAATTTCAAATGTTCTCTCTCTTCTCAAAATATAACGCGAGCCGTTCAGATATGGCGTCCCCGAAATTTCCTTGTTCGGGTTTCGATTCCAAACACAAGTGCTTTAGGTAGCTCCACATCAGATGCAAAATAAAATTAAGTAGGCACATTTATTTGCTTTATTAAGTTGGAGATGACACTGGCCATACCCAGCCTTCTTGGAGGTCGTGTGTATTGTAAGTAGTACCTATATTATTTTATTAACTCATTAACCAAGAACGGATTTTTTTTATTGTTTATTAATAGTAGGTAATCGATGAACTTATAAAGTATTAACGAGTTATATTGATCTCATTGCATGAATCAACTCAATCGTTACTACCACCACCGGTAGAGATCAATAAGAGTGATCAATAAACCACGACTTTTATCACTTATTTTTTCAATGTTATCCGTAATTAAAGCCACGAACATTGTTGTCCAACTGACTTAACATCGCAGATCTACGTTAGATAAAGACAAGCAATTTCTCTATTCCCAAGTAGGCAAGTTCACATTCATTAGTTGTTTACGATCTTGTTATTTGTAACATCATGTATGTGTAGATTGATATTTTGAAATTAACTAACTGGTTCTTATTAAAGAACATATCGATGGACGAAATTAGCATTTAATACTATTTATGTAGCATCGGAATTTAAAATTACTATCTATACATTTAAAAACAATCGAAGTTAGTGGCAAATAAATACTTCAACGTTATTGTTCCGTTCAATATTTATTGACATAATCACATTTCATCCAGTCCTTTTCTGGTTTTTATTGACATGTTGGCTAGCTACAACTTCATAGTTTTTATTTAATTCCAAAGTTACAGTATTTTTTTTGAATTTGTTTAAATAAAATCATTTATCTGTTTTAATTAGCAAATTGTTTACTTATATATTTATTTGAACACTTTGTTGCATGCAAATTATTTTTAAGAAAAAATGTGTTAAGACGATGTCCTCATAAAACAAACACTTGATTTAAAAGAGGGCCGAGGTGTTAAAAATGTGTTTGGCAAAGCGGAGGCAGCGTCGATGAAAAATCGTCCTCGCGCCGCGTGCGGTGCTCCCGCTGTGGCTCCACACAAATTGTAAACAATATTTACGACAAAACCTTCCACGGAACCGGTCGCCGTTAAATAGCGCGCCTAATATCACCGGATAATACAGCGGATTAAACCAATATTCGGTGTAAATAATAATGCACGCCGCAGTTTTATATGCGGATTGAGGTAAGGTGAGAATGAAATTAGTGTATTTTTTTTGCGACTCGTCGTTCGTAGTGCAATAAACAAGTCGTCGGGAACTCGCGTCCATGTCAATCTTTCATCGGGCATAGTGGCGGCAGATAATTACCTGGCGACTTAGCGCATTCCAACGGCCGTCTGCCATAGGTGTGTACTTGACATGTCTACGACGTAAATTGCCAGCTCTTTTAACAACAACGCACCGAACAGGTATTGTAGATAGGACAATGAACCCTGCTCAAACTAGAACATAACCCTAGTGCTTGCCTATTTAAATCACCTTGCTCTCGATTGGCACCCGAAATGTCTTATAACAGTTTCGACGCATACATCGCCAGATTTAGGATAATTACTTTAGTATTTAAGAAAGAAAGAAAATTTCAGACAAAGAAGATAAAACCTTTAACTGAATCTGATGGTCCGTTTCGAAGAATTATTTCCGTACATTTCACTCCTGTGACAATTAATTTCTTAATTTCTCAGTTGGTGATATTTATGTATTCGTTTGATCTATTCTAATTGTGTAGCTTTACTCTAGATAACGTCCCGATAAAATGAAATGATTTGAAGTTTTTGCTCTCACATCAAAAGAGAACAATAAAGTGTACAAAATATTGATGCCGCCGTGACAAATCTTCGGTTGCAGTGAGTAATTTCTCAAGATACGTGTCGGTTCAGACAAATTATTTCGAACATCGGGACTGAACAAAAATGTAACTTCTTTTATTCTCGTTCTGAGATAATTCTGAGGAATATGTTAAGTTAAAAAAAATGTAAACGAGCGACGGAAAATGAATGAATGCTTTGTCACATTCTCGGGGCGTGAATAACTCGGAGGATAGTAAGAGTCAAGGTGTCCTGCGCGAGCGTGCATGAGTGGCAGGATGGCAGCGCCCTGCGGCCTGGCGGGTGCTCGGGTGCTCGGCGGAGGGGGGCAGTGTCGAGGGTCACCGAGTGTCGCGGCAGCTACTTACGCTTGCACACCCACCTGGCGAGCGCCATTGACTACAATGGCCGCGCTCTCTCGTCGCGCCTGCGCCTGACGTAATGAGTGCGCCTACAATGCGAGTAGTAGCTGACAATATTGACGTACTATACATTATGTATGATCCCCTGTCGAACCGCCCGTAATTGTTTTCGATGAGTCGTGTTCGTTCAATGCGCTCCCTTTACGTAAACCGATACCGATACCTACTCACTTAGCGCACCGTCCGTCGCCCGTCGCGGTGCGCGAGCGGACATTAGAACGAATTTTAATGGTGTCGTTTTAAAATATTGTCGAGGGAGCAAAGAGGAATAATGAATGGGCCGCTTTCCCGCTACCGACGTTTATTAGATTTAGTACAAACATAAGAACGAGGCGTGTCAAAACAACCTAATTTAAGTATCAACAAACGTTCGCCTTGGGCGGCGGCGCGCCCTCTCACTGACAACATTAAAGGCGCCATAATGACATTATTCCCGGGCGGGAAACAAAAAAATCTCACAAAAAGGCGTCAAGGAGAGAGATGAGCTCCGCGCCCGCGCCGCTGCAAACGACTCTCTAATTATTAAGATGGTGATGTATTGTTTATGGAAGTCGGCGTCGCGTACTCTCCTTACGATTTCAGATGCCACATCACTATGGCAGATGCTCTGCACGTGTATAGTATGTAAGTATACTAAATTATAATCTAAGATATATTTATGAAGACAGTATGCTTGACGTTTTTATGAAGTAACAATGTAATGCAACAAAACTCTGACAATTATCTATCCCTTATCCCTTTTTGCTTAGACACATGTATTTAACACACAGTAATTTAAAATGACAAAATTAATAATGTTAATTTATCATCATTCAACGCTTTAGGTAGGTATGTTAAAAAAGCTTGTTATGCATTTTAAATATCATTCTCTTTTAGTTATATTTTGTCAATTCCTGTAGGTACACATCTTAATATACTCTTTTACAATAGGGATGATGACAAATACAAAATCAAAACATTACTGAGATATATCATAGGTACTATAATAATATTATAAAGGCGAAAGTTTGTGTGTGTGTATGTTTGTTACTGTTTCACGTCTGAACGGCTGAAGCGATTTTAATAAAATTTAGTATGGAGTTAGCTGACACCCTGGATTAACACATAGGCTACGTTTTAGTGCGGGAAAATATCCATAATAAACCGCGGGTAACACCGCGGGGCACAGCTAGTTAATTTATGTTTTCGCATGATGTCGCATAATTTTTACTAAGACTTGACGGCACGAGCCCCTTCTCCATTAATTTGAAGCGCTTTATCTTCGTAATTTTTAGTTGGCTGGCAAAAGAAAATTAAGTGTCAATTATTTCTTGATAATCTAACTGTCGGACAAAATATTCTTTCGTCAACATCCCTATTCTTATATAATTTCCAGCTTAAATCTAGATGGTTTATAACAAAAAGACAACGCATCGGGTGTCATGTAAACATATGGGGTACAGAGGCGAACACGGCAGGAACATGCACCGGAATAAATAAACGTCACATGGAGTGGGCTTTGCTGTTCACTGATTGATGTTGCCAGATGAGTGAAAATGGCACAGAGACTTCATGCAGCTGTCCGTGTCTGAGTGAGCACTGGCGTCCTGTCGCCACCAATAGAAACATGTCTCTGCGTACGCGACAGGCTCTCAGTGCTCATCACTCACGGGCAATAGGGATAAAGACGGGTAAACGAAATTCTATTTGATCCGTCAGTTAGATTATCAAAAAATATTTTCTCTTGTCAATAAACCAAAAACCGACAAACGTCGTGACGTCACTTTTAGGTGAAAATTGTTGTAAAGATGTGAAGTCATGCGACATTTCAAATCAATATATTTCTTTAATTGTATGATTATGTGAAAAAAGAAAAGATACGTGTCCAATACTTTTTGACAATCTACCGGATAGATGATGAAAAAAAGATAGTCATCATTCCTATTGTATGAAGCTTAGTCTCTGTGCCTTCTTTACTCATTGTGATGCTGCGATGAGAAATCGCAATCGCATCTCGACACTAGCAATATTTCACTAATAAATACATTAACTACCATCAAATGGATGTGTTATATACAATGTATACATTTAAGAAATGCGCTCACGCAAGTGACAGTTGGAATAGTTAACAGCTTCGTTAATGAAGTTATATTCTTTTTGATTAACATCCTTTGTCATTACTTTGCAATTTTCTATTTGAAGAAAAGTAGTGTTAAAAAAGATAACCTTTTAAACACTTGACGTCCGTAAACAGTCACCAGGTACTATTTCCGCAGCAAACAATGTCTATCGTGTTTATAAAACTGCAGTCAATAATAATTAAGGCTTTCCTCGCAGTTCATTGTTATAGTTATTATTTAAATATGATCCTAAGGGAATAAAAATTAAATGCAATGCAAAACACGAATCAAATTCATCAAACATTAAAAAGTGCTTATAAAAAAAACGTGAGTGTCTTGGAACACTTGGTTGGAACCAAGTTAAAAATAAACATAAGTATAAGTACATAACTACAGTCAATACCTACGCTACGAAACAAATGACAACCGTGACGGAAAAATCTTACTTTTTTCGCCTAGCCGCGATC